TCTTCCATTTGTTCCATTAATCAAAATCCCGCGACAGGTACGACGATTGCAATTGCGAATTTTGTTGAGCGCCGAATACCTGAAATATATAGAGCCACTTTCGTAAACTGCGGCGACTGCCCTCGGACCGAGACGAAGCCCGACCTTTTATTAATAAGGATACGCGGATTAGGAATGCTCTTTTTATTATCGCAGCAGCGGGGGAGCAATGGTTAATATATTAATGATGCGTCAACGCGAAGATCCAAGTTGAAAGGACATTGGGTGGAAAGTATTTTATCCGTGCACTAATCTCATGTTTAATAACTTTATTTTACATTATAGAGTAGCGGTGTGGAATGATCGCGGGGGAGAAAAACTTTTATCCGCTCGTTCGCCGTTGCTGTGGATTCACAAATTTTGCATAAAACTAGGAAATGATAACGAATTTCAATTTCTGGAGAATTAAAAATCTCTATAAAGAGCAGTGGCATATATGTACGTACAAACTGGGAACGATGTGAAAGAACGCAGATTTTAAAACTTATAATCTCCTTTTGAGGGATAATCGAGCTTCTGCATTGTCGTCACCTTTTTTGTTTAATTCAAATGAAGCTAAGAGTAGGAACGAGCATTTATTGAATTTTATGGCAAAGCTCTAAAGAAATCGAGAATGCTTTAGCAATCGTTGAGAGCACTAAAAAAAAAAGTACTAAAAAAGTAGTTAAGGAAAAGTAAATGCACCGAAGGCAAAAGAGCGTGGAGTGAAAGCTATTCTATGCATCTATTTTACCTTAAAAATTTGCTTTCATCACTGGGCTGATTGGGCTGTCAACAATACTTACATGTATAACACAACACATGGATCATGTAATATAAAAGATTACTACGGTGTCTCATGGCTTAATACTTTAGGCATAATACTCATTTTTTACATTATGAGAACAAATGTTCGTGTCAATATTAACAAGAAAAATTGTAGAGAATCATTAGGCTATAATTAAAAATTAAATCTTTTCGAACTCGATGTTATCATAAAAAGTAAAGCAAATATAAAGTTTACTCATAACGTTGTCAAAAAAGTCATCCTAATTTAATCATGTTTTAATGCACACATTTCATTTCACAATTTCACTTTGATTCGGCGTGTAGCGTTTTCATTACTTAACATCCATTTTATTTAGTTGTATCTTACCTTACAGATGGCTATTATCTAATAAGAGTATGAAAAAACATGCGCGCGCGTACACGCCCACGGATTTTAGTAACATATTATTATAAGGCTAAGTAAAATTGATTACAACAATATTCGTTTGTAATATTCGTTGATATTCTTGTCGTCATTGTATGAAGCACTGCACAATGTAAGGCTCGAGTCGAAAATATTATTGTAGCATTGAAATATTGAAACTCATTAAATTTCATTGATTATTCGAACTGCATATACTTGAAAATAATGTTTTAATTTATAATAGATAATTATGTAGACATAAACGATGCTAATCTTGAATTTCATAACATAGTGTAGACCAACATAAATAACTATCACAATGAATCTCGAACTAAACTACTAAAATTTCTTACAAAGACTTTTAGTCTTTGGATAAGTAGAATAATTATTCTATGTCAAGACTCGTATTAAAAATGACTAAATCTCCTGATCATAGTCTGAGTATTTAAAACAATTGATCTCCAAAACTAATCCACATACAATATTCGTATATATTCCATTATATGAGACACCAAAGAATTTTATCCAATGCCAAACGACCTACAAAAGAAAATTTAAAAATATAAAATAAAGTCAATATAAAACAAGGTACAAACAAAGATATTATCTCTCACATATTTGTATGAAAGATGATTTTTATTGACGTTTCACTCCACCCCCTCAGTCGAATAAGCGGATTGCCTTTCTCTTTATGATTGTACAGTTTTCACAGGTTCGACCCGTCGGAATACCACGCGTATACCATCCCACGAATACCGGCAATCAACATTTTCTCCATTTATTATAATCCATGATTTTACCTCAAGATAAAACTCCGGATATCAGATTATTTATGTTGTACAATAGGACCGTAGGCCGCGCGTCTATTGTTGCGCAAAGAAAGCCCATAGCGGAAGATAAATCAACCACAAAATGACAATCACTCCTCTCCCCTCTTTTCCTATTCCCCGCCCACTTAAGTTTCTTTCGCGTTTACCACGGGCGTATGCACAGCATGTAATTCTGTTTCGAGCCATAAAATTCGGAGGACTATCAGTGCGTCGCAGCGATTGTCCGCATCGAGCGCAATTGGCGCGGAGGGAAGGCTGCGCCATCCTCGACTATGTTTAGCTGAAACGGGACGAGGATGTCGTGAGCGACCCAGTCCAATAAAATAACGCTCTGTCGGGAAAAAGGACTAACTTTCGCTATTGATTGAAATACTTTATCGCTCGCGCTTAACGAGTTCCTTGAGTTCTTAGCAAATTAGAACTACAATTACGATTCCTAATGTAATTAAGGCTTCACTTCTTCAACAAAAAACTGGTTTCCTATACAGGCTTAAAAAGTTTTCCATAATTTTTCTGCATTGTTGTCGATTATTTTTTTATTTAAATCATTCCTCTATCTTCATATATTATATATTCAGAAGGTATACGAGTATGTGTGCTCTTTTATTGAATTCGAAGTGTTACTACTTATAACACGACAGTAGAGTACAGAATTCATTTCGCTAAAAAATTTCAACCCTCTGATATTTCGGATTCAGTATACAAATTAAATGAACGTCTCTAATTGTTAACAATTTAAAAGTACAATGATACGCGGCAAGATTATCGTTCATATTAATTAATCGAAAAACTTTGACAAATTTCAAAAGACTTAATATATCACCGTTTTAAAACAATTAAGCATGAGATCCATTTTTGCCTTAGAATGAAATTGTACGACATGTTTATAAACATACATGCACCAATATTGTCAGATTTTATGATTTATATAATTGGATTAACTATACCTATATACATATACATATATATATATATATATATATATATATATATATATATATATAACGCATTGTTTCATAAAAGATTTGATACAATTTAAAATTGTATTTTAATGAAATTTGATTACGTGCATTAAAATTATTCATTATTGTAATGCTCTTATATTATATGCATACAAAATGATATTAAAAGATTGAGTTTTGATATTTAATATCCTGTTATATAAATATTTCGTTGTTTTTTTTAGAATTAATTCAATCTAATTTCACATTTCTTTAAATAACTGAACTAACAAAAATAATAAAAATAAAGTAACATTGTTTTACGTATTAGATGTTAAATTATATTCTAATTATATTTGAAAGTGCCAATAATGTATATTAATGCAATCGTTTTATATAATTTACACAGATCAAATGTATTTCTTAAAAAATTAATGATTATAATTTGTTGTTATGCAATGAACTTCTGCTCTTGCAACTAGTTCCAATCGATAACAATCGATTCCACAAAGCTTTATAGTGGCATGCATTTTTTATTAAAAACTAAATAAGAAATTATGTGCACGTTTAATATTCCAATAATATAGAGAAACAATAAATTTTCATGTTTATCAACTTACTTTAACTACATTCAAGCTTTAAAACCAAAATCCGAAATGCAGGTATTTGATTATTAATTAAGAATTTTAATGTAATTAAATTAGAATTTCATAAAAAAATTTAATCCTTATATTTATATATTTAAGATTAATATTTTATTAATTTTCTTTAGGAGAGAAAAAAAAATCGAAAATTAGTACCTTTTATTTGGACTTATAGAAATTTTATATAAGTTAATATGCGCCCTGTTAATTTCATTCACCATAGTCTGATTTAAAATTTTTACTTTTTTCACTTTATCAATTAAATTATAACGGTATATTACACACCTCTTCAACGTCTCTCCCCCCCCCACCCGCCCAACTTTATGTATTTAATAAAATAATGCAAAAAAGATGCTTTATTAAGTCAAAATGTATTTTTAAATTCGATAAATATTGTATTAACAGTTAATAAATCCAGTTGGCAAAGGTTTTACCATTTACGGCATAAAAATATAAGTTTCCATTGTCTAACTTAATTTAGAAAAATATTATTTATTTATGCACAATGTATATATGATTGTATATATGAGATATCTAAATAATGTTAGCTTCTTACAATTAGCTTATAAATACTTTACGTTCAGGTAATAATTTTCAATGCAAAATTAAATTAAATCCTGTGAAATTGATTTCATTTCTGCCGTAATTAAAAAAAAAACAAAACAAAAAAAAAGACAAATACATGTTTAGCGACGCCGAATATTATTTCGAACAATGATAAAATTAGATCGGTTTTTTGTTTTTAATAAACTGCATTGTAAACCAGTAATTTCCGTTTAAGAGTTACGTAAGGGCAAGGAAATTAAGGCATTACATTGATATTATGAAAATTGATCCCAGTTACATAAAAAAATAGTCATTGTTTTAAATGATCAACAAATTTAGAAATGTTGGTTTGACAATTTTAAACGTAAACACTAATACATTTAGCGCACAATTTTAATGACTTGTTTTTACAAAGAATACAATTATAGCTTCATTTATATGTTATTTGAAATGTTTTTATTTATTCGACAAGCGTTTATTACTACAAGAAGAAATACTCATACTATTTATCTAATGAAATATATAAAGAACGTAAATGTATTTATGTAATGAAAGCATCTTTCAGAAGTAAATGGAAAAAAGTGCCCATACAGCTGCCCATATTCCGCGTGCGTACGCGCGTGTATATATATGTGGGTAAAAACAGCATTAGAGAGAGAGAGAGAGAGAGAGAGAGAGAGAGAGAGAGAGAGATAGAGAGAGAGACACAAAAATACACATAGAGCACGCGATAATTTTCATCATTTTATTATCCAAAAAGAGCCGTGAAATTTTTCCCTTAATTCGTGTGCCATTAAAATGTTAAATATACAACCTCCCACCAGTCGTCATTCTTTTCACAAATACACGAACCCCTCCACAGCATCACAAACCATAACGACACGTTCGACATTTAAATTGACAAGAAAGGAAATGCTCCCTTGACACGTTCGTGTTAACACGCGCGCACACGTATATATGGTAAATTGCAGTTCTGTCGTACGGATTGGAGGATGAAGCAGCTACGTACTCGTCTTGGAACGTGACGGTAAACGCGAGCCTCATTGGGAAGATGTGTGGGGCGAATTTTTGCGGCGTCGACTCGGCAATGGAGAATCCCAACTTGGTGCCACCCTCGCCCGAAAGAATCCAACTGATTTCCGGCATTTATCTGGCTTGTATGCTGCTGGCTTGTCTGATCGTCACCTTCGGCGTCGATTCTCTCGCGAGGTAAACGTTCCCCCTCCCCCGACCCTCTACAGATTTTACCCACAAATCCCATATGCATTAATTCTCTATATTGAGAGATGAGATACAGTTTTATTTATCTAGAAGGCAAAGACAAGTTTGAGGGATTTTTCGAGATAGTGGACGAGTAGCAAAAGTTTTGATCCCTTGTCGGCGATGCGCCAACGATCTTCAACTCGACATTACATTCTTTTTTCTTTATTGTCCCACAGCCAGAGACTTTTTTATTATAGCCGTACGAATGAAGACATTGTATGCTTAAGAGATACAGCTATTTTTTTTTTTAAGTAAATTTTTTATTTTACATGGAAGTATGGAATATTAAATCAATGTAATTTTTCATGTTTGGTTAATAAATATCAGTCAATTGGACTGATTTTTAATAATTCCTTGACTTTTATAATAGCTTTATAATTTTCAACAATTAATATTTTTATTTCTTTTAAGCTAAACTTCTTATGATGTAAAGATATTATCTGCTATGAAAAAATTTATACCGACATTATAAAATGAAATTTTCAACAATTGTTAGAAATATAAATTATTACATTAAAAATCTAATTCTGTTAAAAAAACAAAAAAAAAATACATTAATTAGATTATGAAAATTACGAACAAAAAGTATCATAAAAATTGCTATACAAATCACATATGTGTGTGTGTCTGTGTAGATGATATTACATATATAATATATAGATATACATATATTTATATGTATAATGTTTTGAATTTACTCCATTTATAAATTATTTCTAACTGGTATATATGTTTTGCGTGTGTGTGGGAGTCTGTATTTAATTAGGTCTGTATACTAATTAGGAATAAGAAATATAATCATGCAAATATAAAGAAAAGAACTCAAATTAGATTATATTATTATTTAGTATATATTTCTTTACAATCATTGCAATTGTAATCAATAAAAATTGAAACTCTATATTATAATTTTAATGCACACATGTCTCAATCCGATGAATTTATTAATTGACTTTCTCAAACTTCGTACAGTAGAATGACGACAATTTTTTTTTCTATATAAGCCTAATTTTCTTTTTGTAAATTTCAAACAACCCAATCTACATCATTTTAAATAATTATTTTATTTAAAGCTTATTATTCAAGTAACTCAAGAAAAATCGACTATTATGTACTTCAAATTTGCACATATGCTTAATATCAAATTCACTTTTTCTTATTTTTGCTGGGGGGATCTTTAAACAATATTAATTATTAATACATTAATTTATCGATTCTTTATAAATTTATAAAACAAATAACTCATGAAGTAGATTAACTAAATATATTATAATTGCTCACTATTATTATTTTTGTATAGATATTCGTAAGCTATAAGTAAGAAAATTATAATGTTAACTATTTTTCTTTTACATTTGTTTTAATTTAATTCAACAATTATGTTGAATATATATTTCTTTATAAAATTCAAATAAATAACCTTAATCGTATTTTATTACGATGAATCGGACAAATTAGCTTAACAGTTATATTTATACCAAAATTAAAATTTTTTTAAAGTTTCCAATTTAATACTAATGACGTCTAACCTATCTGAATTTAAATGGAAATGTTTGAATTTAAAAATTAACCTAAAATCAATTTTTATTATTATTATGAAAGAAAGTATTATTATTATTATAAAATTATATATTATTTTTATTTGTTTTTCGTACAAACTTATAAGTCCTAGTGACTACGTAAATAAAAATCTGTGTTACCAATTACGAATGTGTTTTCGATATGATAGACATTTACGAATATTTTATATTTTATAAAAAGTTACTTTCTCTTATAATGCATAGTTTCCAAACAATTAGATTCTAATGGAGAAAGCGGTAGGAGACTAATCAAATCTCTACGCTTAATTGAGGTTCACTGATTTGATTTGTATTTAGAGATTAGGTAGTGAAGTTCTACACGTCGTAAGAAAGAATTTGAATTTTTGAATTCTCGTTATTAAAAGAAAATTTGAATTGAATACAAGCATTATTAATATAATATAGAGAAGTTCCACGTCATATTGATAAATATATTATATTGCAAAGATTAACATTGAATTCTACTGTTATAAGATTAACAATTATTACGTGTCAATTGGTATTTTGTAATATTCTTATTTTATCTATTAGTAAATTGTTATTATTGAAATTAATCTGCGTATAAGTGTAATACATTTTATGCAAACTTTTACATAATATTTTGTAAGCTAAGCGGTATAAACGAAAAACATGTCATAGGGACGAAAATATCAGAGTGGAATTTTAATTAAAACGTGCTCTTTGACCACAGATTTTTGCGTACGATAAAAAAGTTAGGATTTTCGCTTAATATTCATTTTTAAATTCTACAACTATAATTTAAATATCACGTTAACTTACAAAAAACATTGTTTGCTCGTGGAAATCTTATCGTAAATATTTGATCGTAGAGTTGAATTTAAATAATATATTTGGCAATCAAAGAAGAAAATTTATTTTGATTAAAATACATTTATTTATAAAATCTGTACGATTCTTCATTTTGCCTTAAAGATACGACAGAGGTCGAACTGGATCCGGCACAGGGAAGTCTGGATTCAAACTTTTGGCTGTCACATTGAAATTGCTAGGTGAAAAAAGTCAACTACTCATTTTGCCAATAACCATTTTCATTGGAGCGGAGCAGGCATTTCTATTCGCTGATTACAATGCTGTAAGTGCACTCCACGATAATGAGCAGTACGTTCAAACCGGATCCCATAGACTCCAAAACTCTATAAAATAATTAATTTTCTCGAAGCTCATAGTAAGCTTTATTACAATTTCGATACAGCCAATTCAATAATAATAATAATAATAATAATAATAATAATAATAATAATAATAATAATAATAATAATAACGAGCATTGATTTTATAATTAATTGATCGGATACTTTGATGAAATACATAACTTATTATTTATATTCGCGCGACAAATCATTATTGTAATTTCTGTCTTGCTTATTGTATCGACTGTTCCCTATAATTTCCCGGCGTTCGTTTATCATTATTAAATTCTAATAATTAATTGACTGATAATTAACTCATGATTATTAATGACCGATCGAACATTTATATTGCCTAATTATTCTTTATTAATAGCATTAATATTACGAGATTAATAAACGAGAGCTCGCGTATATAATAGAAAAATTTAAAAAAATAAATCGATTGCTTAATTTTTAGTTATTAAGTTAATAGACAAAACAGTTAAAAACATGTGTAATATTACTTTTAGTATATCCGATGCTAAGTTGATAGAAATTAACGCACACTATGAAAGATTATGAATATTCATAATCATTTTTCTTATTTAAATGACTCGGCTTCCATTAATTAGTGTATTTTTTCAACTTAATTACCTCGATAAGTAAAAGCAATGCCTTCAATAATATTTCCAAACTCATAGTTTAGACGATATTATCTGCCATTATGCCATTGGGAGATAAAAGAATGTTGAATCATATGGCAAAACAAGAATGTTGTGTACGCTAGTTTGGCAAATTACAAGTAATTATGTAAGCGTGAAACCTGTAAACCGCAATCAATGTCATTGCGAAATAAACCGAATTCGCGTCAATTGTAGTGATCCTCATCTTGCAATAGCTGCGCGTATAAAAACTTGTAATTTTTTCATAGCGCGGAATAATCGCAGCCAATATCCGTCTGGACTGCTTACACGTAATCTTAATTGTCTTCCGCAGGCATACGTATCCTGCGCCTGGGGCATCAGCAACATCGGCTACGTGATGATCTGCTTCGGCATTATTAACGCAATCGCAGCCCCGGTCACGGGCTCGGTTGTCAAGCTCACCGGAAGGATTCCGGTTATGCTTTTTGCATTTTTTCTACACATGGGAATTCTTATTGCGTTGCTCTGGTGGAGACTCCAACCCCAGCAAGGCTTACTGTTTTTCATCCTCTCGGGCTTGTGGGGAATCTGCGACGCAATTTGGCTGGTCCAGGTTAACGGTAAGCTGATTTTATGTGAATGGGCACTCGCCGGATAAGCTTGGGCCACGTGTTTTTACAATATTTCCGGGCATTCATTAGTTGGCGATTGACTACTACCTGAATATGGATATGCGAGGATATCAGATGTAGCGTTCGTTTTTTTTCTCTTTTTCTTCTTTTTTGGTTTTGCCCCGGTAAATAGCGAACTGATTGTCATACTTACGTTTTATTGAAATGGAACTTATTCAAAGATTCCTCTTGAGAAGAATACTGTGAGAAAATCAATAAGATAACCTGCGAACTTTATGTATCCTATTTAATATCAATACTTTGCTCTTTAATGATTTAAATACTATTTAAAAAAAAAAAAAAAAAAAAAACTGTAATTACCTATTAATCATCCATTTTATTTCCGATTGTCGATAAATCGATAGACTTAACACTCCATGCAATTAACTTTGAAAATTACATTTAACAATTATTGGCACTTATTTGATCATTAAACTATTGAAATTATAAATAATAGTTAGTACGCTAGTTTAATTATGTCCGTATGTGTATTGCAAAAGATAATTTCTAGATAAAGAATATTTTCATTAAGGGATCGATGAAAATTTTTAGAAAAATTGTGAAAAATTTGCCATTACGTTTGATCATATCCAGCTAAAGGAATATAATACGGTTATAATTCATTTTCTACATCGTATTTCAAAAAATATTGCTACTCTAAGATAACTTTACTTTCATTCTTTATTAAATACTTCAAATTATATTGAACATTCCACACAATATTTCTCTAAGTTAAATTCACTCTTACGAAATTTATATAATTATTACCAATAGTGCTTTTCAGTCTTAATATTAATAAAGTGAAGTAGACTTCTAAAAATAAATGGTTTATTTTAAAAATAATGTTACGGTATTTTGATATAAAGATTTAATTGCTATTAATATAATGTATTAAACACTATAAACTGATATTACATTCTGCCGAATTTTCATATTTTTACATGCAAAACAAATAATTTAAAGAAATAAAATATCAAATATTATGAATAATAATTTTAAATAAATAAAATTAGTTAAATAAAAAACGTACAACAAGTATTAAAAATTTTTCGATATATGAATTTTTAGATGATGTGAAACATGTTTACTTAAAAATACTGAAATTTTCACATATTTTATGTAAATTTTCTCATATTTTTTTCATTACCTTTTTAATATTTGTTTCGCTTTGGGCTCACTATATATATATTTTTTCTCTACTTTCGTAAACAAAATAATCAAATTTTGACAAGCCTTTTCGAATATTATTATTATTGTTATTATTGAATTATATTTTTTAGAGAATATTATATAGATTTTTAGAAAATTGTTTTTTAAATTTATGTGGTTATTTTGTAGATACAACTTATATATTTGACTCTCTCTGAATATGATTTGCAAATATTCATCAAAAAAATGATTCTGCATATAAAAGCCAATTATATTTTTCAACATTTTGCCGCTTATTTGGAAACAAAAAAAAAGAAAAAGAAATTATAGCATTCAATAAACTCAGAAATTTATCTTCAATAATTTTTAAGCTAATGACAGCTGATATACGCAATATTTTAATGAAACGAATTTACTTTTACTGTTAACATTTACTGTTGTTTATCTAGAAATGCTTAAGCCATATAGCATTGTAGTCTAAAGCCTGAATTGAAAAATTAATGTCGAATAGTTATATCATTATTAATAAGTATTATATAAATTATAAACACTGCCATTGGCAGAGTTTTGTTTATGTTTATGCGCAATCATATATTTAATTTATTTATTTGATGAGACGCCTGATAAACGCCTGAATTATAAATGTGATGCACAACTTGGCGTTCTCATACGGACTCCCATAAATCCCTAGAATATATTCCACACCAGCGGGAATGCAAACTTTGACGGGAGGGAGCAAGAGAAAGAGCCGAGGGCCGAGTCTCTATGGGCTTAGTCGCCATACAAGTATATCGATGCTTTGAAATTGATTATTCGACGCGGCAGTGTGAAACCGCAAAAGTATCTGAAACTTCGAAAGGTTATGCGCGACGTACTAGTCAATCGAACAATGTAACATATCGAGGCTAAATTTTTAATTTAACCTTCTCCCAAGCAAATAAAACTGTCGCGAAAATTCTCCATCACATCAGATTCATAATTTTAATAAAATTGCCAAAGGTGATAACATTGTTAGAAAGAAACTTTATGCATTTTTTATTCAATGTAACTTAAATATTTAATTCGCCAACTACTGATAAGACTGTCAAAGGAATTGTTGCCTTAAATTTCTGAAATTTTAAATATGTTTTTGAATCATTTTCTATCTCACTAAGCACAATTTCATGATTAGTTTGATGGCTCAAAGGCTCTGCTAATCTCTTAACTAAATTCCAAGGCTAAATCGACATCCTAATAAATTCTCGTTGTATTCACTTATTATCTCATGTCATTTTCATAAGTATATAATATAATTTTTAGAAATAATCAATGAAATTATGATTGCAGAAGGCCATAAATATCGATTATTAACAAATTCACAGCGTTTGCATTTCAAGGAGATCATAAATTATTATAATTTGTTGATACGCATAATTTTCATGACAAAACCATAAATTTTTATTGGTCTGAGTCGTTCGTATTAGTATAATCTTATTTCTTTTTATTTTTTTTCCTTTTTTTTTTTTATGAAAGAAAAATTCTATTATTTTTCAGAAAAAATATTGAATGAGTTAGCTTCGCTAATAACTTACATTTATCTATTGTAAATCACAGACGTTATTGAGGCCAATTTCATTAGCTTAAGTATTCTTTGAAATGTTTATCAAGAATATCATGTTATTGGAATGTCACCACTTTTAATAATAAGATGATATACATACGTAGGAGTGTCTTTTCAGTTCCGTTTCTTGACTATTATTGAATAATTACAATACTTATGAATGCTCAAGGCAGTGAAATTGCCTTTAGTACTCTTCATTCGTATTCGTAGCTTATCGTTAAGAATTTTATCATGCAATTATAATATTATAAACACATTAAATTCAATCCGTTAATTAATGTTAAATAGAAACAAAAAAATAGAAAATAATAGATGATGTTCATTATAAAGCAATGCTTCTTCATATTAATTTTCAATGATATGTCAATATTATCAGTGGCAGAAAATTAGAAATCGTCCTTTTATTTATATGCTTTTAAAAGTGATAATGAAACATAATTAAATTATGTTTTCATATATATTTATGAATTATTTATGAATAGTTTAAATATTGTGCTCGCATTATACGTTTGTCAATAAACATATTTGCAAAATATTAATTGATAAATGATATCAATTTTACTTTTATTATCATTAACCAACATAAACACTCGTCTAATTGTAGACATTTTAATGAAATTTTTGAAGTAATATTTCACATAAATGATAAATCTTTGTAATAAATGCTTATTATTATCTCGGTCTTATATTATTACACGATCAATCAATATGTTTTTGTAATAAATATTATTAATTGTGTGGTTAGATCATGCAATTTTAATATAAAATAATGTCGAATCGTTCATTTGGTAAAAATGACAATTTTATCTAATAACTTACATGCATATATATATATATATATATATATATATATATATATATGCAATAGAATTTATCGAAGAAATTGTTATAATCCAGTTTGTCATTGGCATTCATTAGTTCATTAAATAAAAACTTTATTAATTCAAGGTGTATTGACAGTAAGTAACATTGAATTTCATTGAGCTGTTATTACCGACAGTGGGTAAGTCGAGCCGCAGTCGGTAGACAAAGATATTTTTCCTCTCTTCGTTCGAAGCGCCAAATCGTAATGCAGAACTCTATATTTGCAATTAATAATACATTATTGGTGAAAGATTATTGTTTATATGTACATGTCTTCGTTTTCCAGCATTATCCGGACTTCTATTCCCAGGCAAAGAAGAATCCGGATACTCAAACTTCAAACTGTGGGAGGCGACCGGCTCTGTGATTAGTTATGCTTACAGTCCTTATCTCTGTACGGATATAAAATTGTATGTTCTTATGGGAATTCTGTGTTTGGGAATAGTTTGCTATTTAGTTATAGAGCTTACCGGACGAGTTAAAAATGCTGTGATTGAAGTGAAGCAAGATTTTCAATTGGTCGCATCTGCGGAAAAATTTCGATAACCATCAAGCCGTTATAACTATTATGTCACAAATAATGTATAATAACTTATGTGTTAGATAAATATTATTATACTGGCTTGATGATAGAATTTAAATTTACCAAATGAAAGTAATTCGTATGTTCGAGCGTGACTTTATAGTAAATAGTAGACAGGCTTTTATCTTTTTCTTTTCTCTCTCTCTCTCTCTCTCTCTCTCTCTCTCTCTGTGTATGTATAAACACATACACTATTTGAATAATACGCAATGATGAAGTTTGTTTATTTGTTACGAAAAGTAAGAATCTTATAGTAGGTATATGGATATAAAATAAGTATTTAATATGAAATGTCGTTATTATTAAAAGAAAAATGATTGTAAAAGCAGGGGAACAGATATCATGTAATGATTACGAAATAAAAAAGCTCAGTTCTGATTTGTACCACAATATATGTTTTTATTTTATTCTTGTGGACACCTACTAGATTTTACACAAGTATTCGCTTACGGTCTAAATTTCCTTCATTCATTTTATTTATTTATTTATCTTTTTTTTCTGTTTTTGTTTTTTTGAATTATTTTTATTTATTTATTTATTTATTTTTTTTTTTTTTTAAATACGTAGTTGTAATGTTACATCGTACCTAAGCGCTAACATCCAATCTAAAGCTACGGCCTCGCTTAGTCGCTAGTTGTATACTCATGTGCTTAATTTTCGACCGTGTATGTAGGTTTTTACTGTAGTTTCGCGGTCAATCGACTACTTTCATCTTCTTATCTCGCTATCTTGCGGGTGTAAAGTCGCGATAGAAAAGCTGACGACGCATATGCATGCACTTATGAGTTCGTCATAATATATGTATCATGTTCAAAGAGGATATCGATTTATGGATCGACGAACGATAATACAGACACACGTATTCGGAATTTACACAGCGCTGACGACGTATTGTCGTGTTGCTTTCCTTTCGAAGTTTTCATCAACGTGTTACATGTGATCTCAGTCGCTGCTATAATTCCCGTCGATTGACGGTTCATGAAATTATTCAGTGTGTATGTGTGTGTGTGTGTGTGTGCGCGCGCGCGTGTGTGTGTCTTATTTTTTTTGTTTTTGTTTTTGTTTTTGTTTTTTCTTTTCATTCGAATAATCTTGAAGTTGCTGATTGTATTTGTAAATACTATTATTTTAATACTTGCGTCTCTCCCTTATTTACAATCCCAGTTTTACAGTCGAGTAACTTTATAAAATGTAGTAGGAACTTTGGTTTCACCGGACAATGTTTCAAGAGCAGTTTCCTCCCAAGTGTTGCCGAGCGGTTTTTGAGTTTGCTGCCCATAAACTTTTATAAGGATGACTTTGTACTACAGAGATTTTTATACAGTTGAATGGCAATCCAAAAATGATGCGGTCACTTCGACATCGATGTTTGGGTATCTTGAAAGGAAGTTGCTTTTGCGCGAAGCGCTGACAGATTATTTCTGCCAGAAACTGCTGTGAAACATTAGCCCGTGGATCTGCGTTTTCCTTAGAAATATGACACTCACGAATACAACTCACGTTACTTTTTTTTCTCCCTTGTTATAGGCTAAGCTTTAAGAATTCATATTTTTGCAATGTTCTATTAAGATGTGACATTTTCACGAAGAAAATATACATGATTCTTGTCTTTTTATTCGTTTTTATTCACTCTCTCGTTTAGCGTATCCTTCTCGTGTATCTCTCTCTCTCTCTCTCTCTCTCTCTCTCTGTATTTCTTCCAATATCCCCCGCCCCCTCACTTTTCCCTTACAAACCGTATAACAAAATTTAATAACCCCCGCCCCCCTCACTTTTCCCTTACAAACCGTATAACAAAATTTAATAACCGGAATATCTCTGTACAAACTTTTTTTCGACCGCTCGCTTACTTATTTTTTTTATTACTTTTATCAAAAAGGACATAACATACTACGGGCACCTTCTTGGCGCTTCTTTATCGAGATATAAATTTTGAATTTTGAATATTCCGTTCGACCCGCCTCTCACAGAGTGCGCTCTCGCGTTTTATAATACAGTTTTTTTTTTTTTTTTTTTTTTTTTTTTTGGGAACAAACCACTTTGCTCATCTTCATTGTTTTTCCTTAATAATAACTTTATTCCTAAAAATATCGTCGCCCTTCATCATAGTCAACCTTTAACCATGTAAATTTTCTTTGTATGCGCGCTTTCCTTCCATTAACTATTTCGTAGCTGTGATAATTGTTGGAGTAAATTTATCATTTATGAGTGCCTATTATCATGTAATTATGTATATTCTCGTTAAAGTATTATATACAGGCTATGCTCGGAGGCTGAAGCTATTCTTTTTTTTTTAATTTTTTTTTTTTAACGACAAGAAGCTCATTCCGTTGGTCAACAAACAACAGATACAAATAGAAAAACTTACTGAGTAAGGCATACGAATTTAAATTCTAATTGGCTTCTCAATATACACCGAGTATTAACCAAAAATTATTCAACTGAATTATGTTCTAAAAATCTAATCCAATGCATGGAGAATCGCTAAAGTCTGAAGACGTTTTTATTTTCAGCAAATCATACCTGGAGGAAATGAAATATAACGTGCATTATTTGTCTAACGAGCTTATTTGTTATTATGCATATGAAGAATAATTTCATGTCAAACTCCATGACGACGTCCACACATTTCTAACCATAAAATCTTCATTAATATTCATTTTATTTTGCCACTGACCATAAAAACTTTTCAAATTCACTACCAAGCTCAATTAAAATCTAAAACATTTATTTATCGATAAAATCCTTCCATTGGCGTCGCCTCTTCAACTTTATTATCGCGAGTCTGATCGTTAGACAAACATATGACTAGTATACAATAAAAAAAACTTTAAATTATAACTTTATAGTTTGCAATTTTTGTAAATGCAACTACATAGGGATAAATATCGCAAGTGACATTTCTCGTCAATAATTTTATATTTATCAACTGGTTATTCTGATTTAATTAATGTTCCATTCCAATATAAGATCTTTATAAAGCTTATATAAATGCTGCGATATTTGTTCCTACGGATAAATTTCAAGCAGCCTGTCGGTACGTAAGTATACTTTCAAAGACGAGTTATTGCAATTGATTTTATACCATAATAATGTCAACATTCCTTATAGAAATATTCGTGCGTAATCACTATAGAGAGTCCAGCTAAGTCGAGCTCTTTTTCGTTATCTCCTATGTATAATCGATTTTTCTGCTCGTTATTTTATTCTGAAGTAATATCCTGTTTTATCAAACCAAAGACACCACTGTCTTTCTGCCCCTTCACTACTCGAGATTTATGCCACTATATAGGTATCGGGGGAGGGGGGGGGGAGAAAAAAAGAAAAAAAAAGAAAAAAAAAAGAAAAAAGAATATGTAGTGTCGAAAATTTTTTTACCCAATCTCGAGAACTAAATAATGTTATGTTAAACGAAAAAGATTCGTTGTTACATTAGATTAATTAATAGTCGACCCAATATTTTGAATGTCAAGTATTTATCAATGTTTGTTAAAAAAAACCAAGATAATTTTAATGAAATATTAGCACGCTTTTTTGTTTTTTTTTGATTACCAATGCGCATCACTTTGTTCGCTAATACAAAACAAATAATTTTATCATAAATTAATTTGCAACTACATATTTTTTCATATAACTTTTAGAACATTATTCATTTTTCATTTAATCACTCGCGCTCGGAGCTCTCTTATTTACGTAAAAATTATTTACAGATAATACACGCGTATACGTTTGCGATCACAATGCTCAGTGGTGCAAGTCGAGCTGTCTCCTTTACCCTGTTTCCGCCTGGATCTGAGAAATCGCTCGATCGTGTACCACCTGTGTCAGTCATTATATACTTTTTTCCTTTTTCATTTTAATTATTATGTTCGAATTCACCTCAACAAACGAGGTTGGACGAGAACTGCTAGAACTAAATTCGAGAAAATCATCTTCAACGTGAGTCCTTTTAACGTAGTTACGCGTATATCTTACAAAGTAATGAGTTTCCTTCAATCGTGGTCGAAGCTACACATTCTTGCGACTTTTTTCAGTGTTTTTCCATATTCAAATGGATGTTATACATACAAAATAAATTAAGGCTCCATCTGTATCCTGGATGTTTGCTGACACGAAAGTTACACTTAAGTACGCAAATACTTCATCGACAAAATGGACACTATCTCTCCTCGTTACTTATAAAATATTTGAAATCTGCATTAAAAATAAATCTTTTTTTATTTCATTGCAAAAGCCATTGCAATTATGTATTATACTTCCAATGAAGAAACATTCTCTTATACATAAAATACCTCGCGACAGTAAACTAAATACATTGTAAATAATATAATAAAAATAATTGTCCGCGCGCGTGAGTACGCACGTACGCGTATATTCGTGTATACGTTGTATAGTCTGGTGCGCGCACGTAAACACGTACGTACTCAAGTGCGTATGCACGCATACACGCACGCACGCACGCACGTACGCACGCAAGCACGCAAGCACGCAAGCACGTACTCATGCACGCGTATGCGCTATATCTTATATAAAATAACGGAACATCGGTAATAAAATGTAGTCTATACAAGTATAGGAGAAAAGCACTGAATAAAAGAGGAAACGTTAGGGCTTCGACCACAAACTTTCATTATATCGTTTATCTCATTCTCTCCTTCTCTCTCTCTCTCTCTCTCTCTCTCTCTCTCTCTCTCTCTCTCTCTCTCTCTCTCTCTCTCTCTCTCTCTCTCTCTCTCTCTCTCTCTCTCTCTCTCTCTCTCTCTCTCTCTCTCTCTCTCTTTCTCCCCCCCCCCTCTGTCTCTCTTTCTTTCCCTCATTCTCTCTCTCTCTCTCTCTCTCTGTCTCTCTGTCTCTCTGTCTCTCTCTCTATCTATCTATCTATCTATCTATCTCTCTATCTATCTGCTTCTTCTTTCCTCTCTACATTTGTGTGTTCCTCTCTCCTTTATCATCATTTATCTCGACGGTCCGTTTGACGGATCACAACGAAGCTTTAAAGCTATAATATTCTCACAGTGTCATATGTAGCAAATCGTATGCATGTTTGCTTCCCCCGTGAAATGCAAAATCCGCTGCAGTTATAAGCGAGTCGCCGCCACCGCCGCCACCGCCTCCACCGCTGCTGCTGCTACTTTGCTCTTGAACATTGAGCATTGGTCGAATCCACGTGACATCATCGGCGGTATTTTAGGATAAGCTCTTCGACATCATTCTAACGGTGTTCTTGAGCGCCTGTCTCTTGTTGCAGAACCAGATCCTAATTACCTCGCGATCATAGCCCAGTTGCTGTGCAAGCGCTGTAATCTCGTTACCTGGAATAGCGATAAATGCGAGTTAATGGGCGATTGAAAGCTCTCGCGAATCGGTAATATCATTGTTGGCAAAGTTTTAATATTGCTCGTCGGAACCGAGGGTGGATGAGCCCTCGCTCATGCGTGGTCTTAAAATTAATTTCAAGCAATATCGAAAGGTAATGATGCTACCTACAGCTGGCAATGTAATATTAATATTATCGTTGAATAAGTACGAAAGAATGAGGACGAACGGGGGGATTAAAATCCGTTGGGCAACAAATCGCGAGCCGAATACGTTTTATCTCATCGTGCCGGCGAACATTGTCCGTGGCTAAATGCGCCGAAGATTCATACAAAACAAGGGCAAAAGAATTGAAAAAGCAAATGGAGAAGCACACGAGATAATGGACATTGACATTGACTCACCGGAAGGATGCGTGTTTCTGTCGAAATGCGCGTTAAGCAGCTCTAGGGCTTGGGGCGTGAACGAGGTTCGCCGCTTCCGCTTTTTGCTAGGCTCCACGCCGATGAAATCCGTCAGGTGGTTGACACCGCTCTTATACCTGTAATCATACGCACTACTCTCAGTTGAAAGATGCTTACTCTTTCGAATTGCGGGGATTGATAATATTATTTTGGGAATTCCATATGAGATTTGTAACCGGGCTTACGTAAATGTGACTGAAATAAAATTTCCTTTTAATCGGCCGAGCTGAAACGAGATTGCATGTCAAGCAGGCGATATTCTCTAGATTACACGGCTAAAAGGCATTGGAAGTTACGAACATTAAATATAATGATCTAATTATTATTTTCAAAAAGAAAAATTTGGTAAAAATTGTCGATGAATTAATACGCGCTTTAACGTTAAGAGTTCACTCAACGGGAGCGAGTTGGTGCAGTTGGTGGGGCAATGTCGAGGGGGAGGGCGGAGATAGGCGGAGGGAGGTTGGAGGTAATAGGAGGCCAAGGGGATGGACAAATGAAACGAAGCGTATTAAAGCCACATTGAAAATTTGCAATTTTTTGTAATTTATTTGCAGTGCAGCGGGCACTTTCATATTTTCTCCGGTGAAAATTTTTGGCAATTGCGCGGTTGCGGCGGCAGCGGCGGCGGCGGCGGCGGCGGCGGCGGCGCTCAATCGAATCCCTCGTTTGAATTGGATACGGCGAAACAAATTGGCCGACATTCGCCAAGTATATCGCGCAAATTATTTCATCAGAATGAGGCTGTGCATTAAAACGCACCAACGGGCATGACGAAATATTTTATCAGTCCATCCCCGCGTCTCCGGACATTCGTCGAGCGCCACCGCCGACCTTTCCCATCCCTGTTTCAGCTCGCGTTTTTCCTTTTTCACCAATAACGGGAAAATCATAAAACCTGGACGATGGCGTATGTAACGGTGTTAGCCGTAGCCGCGGATATTATCTCGGCTCAACTGCCAGTGCTTAATAACGAAAATATGTAGATTTCTCGGTCACGGGGAGGCTCGGTGAGGCCAAGAGAGGAATATTAAGCGTCCGCGGCGTAATCTCCGCGGGACACGGTGCAGGAGGGTTGGAGGGTGAAGGGCACGGATAGCGGTGACAGCATCGTGTCGTCGCGTCGAAGGGAATTGCGGGGGCTCGCGGAGCTCGTACTTTCCAGCAGCGCGAAATTTATGTTTTTAATTTAACTCCGAATGACCAACTGTCGGGTAGCGAGTACGAGCAAGGGGCCGGGCGATCAGTCCATGCGTGAGAGGAAATCGGTCCGTGTGTGCGCAGTGCGAAATTAGCATCGCTCGGCGACATTTCGTCGAATCCACCGAAAACAATATGCTAATGGGCGGGGGGGGCGGCGAAGGAGAAGGAAGCAGGTAATGTATATACCAGTTTTTCGCGGAATGCGGCTTGCGCGTGAGAGTACGAGGAAAGCGCGAAGAGAAAAGGGAGTGAGTGGCGGGAAGACGTGTGTAGGATGTATGGAGTAATGCAATTAATGCGGGGATATTGAGAAGCTCGTATTTTAATTAAATACAGTCGTGGCTCTATTGATTTATCGCGGTATTTTCTCTTCTTGTTCACAAAAATATGGGAAGAAGGGCTATTTTCATTTTCGGTCGTCGTCAGACGAGGTTCCGGCTTTAATGAAAAGTACGCCGCGGCATTTTTCTTTCTTTCGTGTTTTATTCTACATTTGTAGAAGATAATCGAGACACTTATCAAAAATTACGCGAAGCAGCCAACGTAATATTCGCTGATAATTAATTAATTATTCATCAGCGATACTCCCAAATAGTATATCCAAGTAGTAAACAAGAGTCATCGCTTTTCCAAGATTTTCTCTGTCTTGAGAGTAGCGATACAGTAGGGCTACCGAAGATTGACATTTGTTTGGATGCAGCGCAAACATTGCAAATTCGGTTTCGTACTCTAAAATAAACACCCGCGACGGTAAGACGAATAAAGGAAGAAGAAGTAGAAGAAAAAGTTGAATAAGAAGAAGAAGAGAAGAAAGAGAAGAGAAAGATGATGAAGAAGAAGAAAGAGAGAGAGAGAGAGGAAGGGAGAGAGCGAGAGAGCTGGCGCACGACGATAAGTGTCGCCTCTCACGAGCGAATTCCAGGGAAAAGGGATGCGGGATATAGGTATGAGGATAAAGAAAGGAAGAGCGCTTGAAGCGGCTTGAAAGTGCGGTGGCGGCGGCGAGAGGTGGAGATGGTAAGGAGCAGTGGAAGGATAGAAGAAAAAGAAACGCGAAAGATGAAGGAGAAGGAGCGGCAGCTGGTGGGAGTTGGGCTGTCGCAACGGGAGGAGAGGAAGGCACATCAGAAACCTGATTTTAATTAGTCCACAGTTTAATTACTCAGCAGATAAATCGTGCACGTGCACCGCATAAACCAGCCGATTTCATTTTTCCGTGGTGCGACGCACCACATCTCGCGACCAGAGAGGGATAGAGAGTTTCGGCGTCGTTGTCGTTGTCGTCGTCGTCGTCATTGTCGTCGTCCCAGTCTTCGCACATTTACGTAGCGACTGCAGGTACGCGAGTGGGGCATGGTTGAGCCAAACGTGCGACATTACGTCCGAAGAATGCTGGATGCACAATCCTTGCATTTCCTGACTCCCGACCGACTCGGTTGCCTCTCGTCTGTGCGGTTTCGCTTGCCCTTTTACGAATTGTCAATATCGTGCGCGCGAAACGTTATTGAAATAAATTTTACAACGATGTCGGGCGCAATGGAAGACGTGCAAGGATCATACGAGTGTTATTTCTTAGTGAGCGGATGCGGTGGGATTTTTAGCTGAACTGAAGATATAAAGAGAGTGTAACCGTCGATGGCGCGATCCTCGTAAATTTGCAATTCGCTATTCGCCAAACGTGGCGATTTCGCGATAATAATATCCGAGAGGAGCGAGTTTCGAAAAAAAGTAAAAAGCAAAGAACAAAAAGAAAGTAAAATGGATATTTATGGAGAGCGCGCGGGTTCGTTTCGCAACTCCTTTGTTTACCGCCCCGAGCAAAGGCAGCGTACATAGAATTAAAACGAATTTATTTTACGAATCTTATAAAATTAAAGGCTAGTAGTGAATAGATGGCAAATGAATTTTGCAATCAACAAGGGGAATTGTATATGAATGGCACTACAGATGATTATAAAACTTAGCGCAACTTTGATTTAATAGTTGCAATATAATTACAATAATAATTGTAAAATTGACGTCTCCTTAATTGTGAGCATTGTGAAATTACGTAAGATTAATTTTCAATTATCTTATGTAATACATATATTGTTGGGCAGTACTGGGCGCAAATCAAGCCTCGACCCGAATGATATTCACTTTATAAAAAGTGGTTTGATAAAAAAGGTCGACTTTATCTTACAAGGCAATCAAAAGCCTTTATCAGCTCGATGGAAGAAAAGAGAGGATGAAAAAGAATGCGACATTTAAATAGACTAATTATAATTTCAATTTAAATGTTCCGCTTGAAATTTGCATGTTAATCTAATAATTTATGCGCGCAATCAAGGCAAATAAGTATCTTAATCGAACCGTTAATGCTAGTAGTTAATGATAGTCCCCGCATAAGGCCCCGATCAATACGTTTATACTCATAGCTGCACAAACGCTGCCCGCATTTATTTATTTTGTATTTATCATGATTTGCCACGTGTTTTCGTCAACTCGCGCTGTGTTGCCGAATATTGTTTTAATAGGCGGTGACGGTGGCGGCGGCAACGGCGGCAACGGCCGCAACGGCGCACGTAAATAATCTCCAGCCAAGAAGCTATATCTCAGGCCAGCAACGATAGTCCCAAAAGCCATGAAGAATTCCTACCAAGGGGGCACGAAGGGGGCTGAAGAAATGGCCGGCGAAGAGCAAAAAGGCAATCCGCCTTGGGCTGGCTCTCTTATTTATATCGGTAGCGATGCGGCGACCCGACGACCGGGAACTCGACCTCGCCAGGCGAAGGGCCTCCCTCACCCACCACCTCAGTCGGGAAATGTGTTAGCGCCGTATGACCCCCGCTAATAAAGTCCGGAGGCCCCCGAGGCGGGCGTGACGGCCGTGTTCTTGACCGCCGCCCTCTCTCCTGCTCCCTCCCTAGCCACTAGCCAACCACCACCGCCACCGAACCGTCCCAGAATTCGCAGCAGAGACCCGCGACGAGGTCTTCCCGATCGAGTCCCCTCTCACTCGTTTCCCGTTCCTTTCTGTTTTTTTTGTTTGTTTTTTTGTTTGTTTTTTTTTTGTTTTTTTTTTGTTTTTTTTTGTGTCATTGAGCGAACAGAGCGGGTTACCACCGAAAAGTATGCGCCCTGACGTTGCAGTTTATTAGGCGGGGGCGTTGGTTAGCGATGCGCGCGGATTAGAGCGAACACGGGCAAAGGTTTTAAAGTTACGTAGCTCAACAATATTAAGGAATTCAGGACGATGTCTATGGACATTCTAAAGCGGCGGTAGTCGCGAATTAAAATTTATTTTATCGGCGTCCTATGATCGCCTGCGGCTTATCATTCTGCAAATTATGATTATTAGGTGTTGTTGTCACTATGTCCGAGACAAGCCTTTTCATTTTAGAAAATTCAACGACAATCGCAACTTCAACGAAGGTTAATGGCCGGTAACTTCATAACAAAATAACTCGATAATAATTATTCGATATTATTTAAAAGAGTCGCGTTGTGAACTGGGCGGCACAAATTTTTTCTTCATTCTGACATCTCGTACAAAACCATAGATCGTTAACAGTTTGAGAGAGATAAAGATCACATTAGCGTTTATCAAATGCTTGTGTTTAATAAGAGAGCCAGGATAATTTCAATAACATTTGCGATTGAATTTGATCGTAACTAATTCCACAAACTTTTCAATCGCACTCCCCATGTGTACACGAGCTTTTACTCATGTTCCTAAGTGATTCAAAATTTACAAGTATATAAATATCCTTTATGCTTAACGAAGTTGATTCCTATCTCAGGCTAATTAAAAAAAAAAGAGAGATAAAGCACGAGAGCGCTGTTTCATCTAATTGAGTTTGTACTTACTAAAATCAAATAAGCATATATAATGGTGTTTACAGTGCGAGTTGTAAATATGCGCGTTACATACAAATCCCGTCATACTTGCGCTACAGAGTTCAGAATTTATGTCGGTAAGTTTGCTGCTCACAAAAGAGAAAAGAGACCGAGAGAGAAAGAGAGAGAGAGAGAGAGAAATAAAAACGGCCCACTCGCAATTTCACGTGCGTATCTCGATAATCCCGCGTCGCTCATCTTCTTTTTTCAACTTCTTCTCCTACCGATCCACTACCACTACGTCCCCTCCCTCGCTCGCTCCATTGCCGTGCCTTCGTTCCCTACCGACGCCGTCCCTCTCATAATCAACATTCCAAGTATTTATGATGGCCGCGGATCCGCAATTAATCGAGCCGATTCAATTAGCGAATTGGCAATTAACGTGAACACCTTCGCGCGCAGCCAAGGCCGCCTGGGACAGAAAGTTGATCTCACCCGTCGATGCCGTCCGTGGCGGGGTTCTCCATCTCCTCCCCTCGATCCTCCCTCCGCCCCGCCGTCAAATCGCCAATCCTTCAATCACCCCCGTGGCTAATTGAAGAGAAATTGGCCTAGTGGCGATCGGAAAAATTGCCCCTCCCTCATCGAGCATCATCATCGCCCTGCACAAACGTCTCTCACTTTCACACTTGCCTCCATTCTCCCACGCGTCACTCGCAATTGCACAATATGCACTGGCGGTTTTATCGAAATACACTTTAATTAGCGCCGTTTCTCCGTTTCTCGATAGCTGGGTTTTTTTTTTTTTGTGGTTTTTCTTGTTTCTTCATTCTTTGGCGACGGTGGCTGGTGGTGAGGTTACTTATGGCATTAGAAAATCGCCGATGCCAGAGCAAAGTGACGGATTGTGCGGACGGGAAGGGGAAGGGGAAAAATCGCCGGATACATCATTATTATGCGCGCCGAAGATGCTATTCAAATAATTCTCGAGAATAATGTGCATTGAGATTTTCCGGGCGCCGTGGACGGGATATCCTGATTGGAAAAGTCCGTACATAATTATTTGATAAAAACGCGCGGACAATAATGAACGGGTAGGAGCAATTTACGAGAGCGTTAAGGAGAATTACGACAATCTTGCGTCGCTTTAAAAAGTCAAGCGAGAAAAATGACAATCCGGGTTGATAAGCATCGGCGGCAACCGAACCGGCAAGAAAAACACTTATTCATCAATTTATTATACCCGAGGCGAGCAGTTTCCGTCTTTTTGCCGTCGAGCCCTCGACGAGAAATCTACTTATTGAGAAAGAACGATACAGAACGATACCCGCGCGCTTTTTGCCATAGGCCCGAAGAAGAAAGCAACCGTATCGCCTTTATAACGGATCGGAATGCGCGCTACATCTCTCACTCTCGTGGCTTTATCTTTTATGCAATCGGTGTCGCGCGCCGTCGACGTCGTGCATTGTTTTGGAAGACGCATCGTAATTCCCTTTTCGCAAATAAGTGACTTGGCGGCAATGAGCCAAGGATAACACAATGGAAACTCACCTATCCTCGGCCTCCTTCATCCACGTCTCTAGCACGGGCTTGATTTTCACGGCGCTCTTTGGCGTTATGTCAAGCTTCTCGAACCTAGAGGTGAAGAATCGGAAAATCGAATGTTATGGAACGATGCTTTTTCATTTTTTGGGTTTTTTTTTTTTTTTTTTTGGATTATTAAAAACATGCAAAAACTAAAAAGTGAGATTTTATTGATATTTACTTTTTTTTTAAATTTTCTTTTATTTCAATTGTTTTTTTTTTCTTTCTTTTTTCATTTATATTTCAAGTAAGCGAGAACTTTCTTCAAACACATACAAGCAAAGTCGATTTTTTCTCCATTTTATTATTATTATATATATATATATATATATATTTTTTTTTTATTTGATTGAGAAACAGTGACAAGTTAATTATAAGTTGGTAGAATTTATGGGAAATAAACGCGCTCTTACGAATTATATTAATTCTAATATCCCAAATGGCATTGCCAATTTTACTAAGTATTTCCAAGCGCGTAAAATTATCGTTCAAGACCATAATAAATTTAATCTAATCTGTAAATTTTTGAAGTTTGATAAAGTCTCTGGTACAAATACCAGTTTTACAAATAATGCACAAATTGTTAATGTGAATTAAAATCTTTACGTGTGATTTACTATTCAACTTCATATTAGCATATAAACTTAATAATAAATGCATTTACTTTTTCATTGCAAGTTGGAAGATCTTCACTGAATTATGGCCATTTTCAACTAGGAAAATAACTTAGAAAGTGGTTCGTACCTCTTTAAAGACAGCACGTGTATACGACACGTTTAAACAAGTAAACTAAGCCCATAATTATTTTAGAAAGATCATTTTGATTATGAAATGCAAATATTCAAATAAACGATGTAATAATTTTATTAGCACATTACTTCAATCACTACAGATTATGATTTTATCAATAACAATAGCAATAACAATGACAATAATGATAGTGATAATAATAATGATAATAATGAAGGAGATAATAACAATAATAATAACAATGATAAAGATAATAATGATAATAACAACAGTGATAATGATAATAATGATAATTATAATATAATGACAATGGTAGTGAATAATAATAATGGTAACTAATTTTTCGATTATACGTATTCAAGTATTTAAAAAAAAAAAAAAAAAAAAAAAAAAAAAAAAAAAAAAAAAAAAAATTGCAATAAGGAGACAAAATTGGAAAAAAAATCGACTTAAAGCTATTGCTGTGTAATTATCGACTAAAGGAGCACTAAAGAAGCATGCATTATTCGATAACAGGACATTGACAATGCGTGCATGCGCGTTGACTTGGCGATGCCATGGGTTTTTGATGTGCCAACGTGTTCATCCGATCTTGCGAAGTGAATAAAAAAAAGAGTCTCATCGACGCTGTATAGGTCCGTAGACTTCCCGAGGAAAAACAATTGTAATTATGTAATTAGAGAAGCTAACGAGAAAGTCGTTAGGAAGCTCAATGTAGGCACAGGAGCGAGATAAATGACAAATCGGAGCCTTTAGCGCGTTGGCGACATCATGCCCAAGCTTGCCAATGCCCTGGCTCGGAGAAAGTTAATAATTACAAAAGTGCTCCTTTTGCAATTCCATTACAAATTAACCAATGCATTATTTTTATTTCTTTATTTTTTTTTCAACTCTTCTTTTCTCGATCACTCCTCACTTTTTGTCTTTCGAGTAAAAATTGGAAAGTGGCAAAACTATTACTGCAGCTATACCCAATATATGCACTTTATTCGTTACAATGACGCTCATGGATGTTAAGCAACCGAGAATCAATTATTATTTATTTATCGTATACTGTTATTTATAAAGTTATGAAGATTTATGATGCCATCGGGGCTCGATCGACAATTCAAGAAGCAAAGACTAGTCTTTTTTTCTTTTCTCTTGTTTCTTTATTCTATTTTTTCTTTTTTCAATTTTGGTCTGTATGCTTGTTTTTGTTTGTGTTTGCAAGAACAATCGTTTAGGCGCCGTGAATGACGATCATCGATACTCTCTCATAAATATTGGATATGACTGCAGGTTTTAAGAATTTTAGGTAAATTAAATAATGAATGTGGGGTGAACGTACATATGCTGCTGAGCGTACATCTGGAAAGCCAGGGCACTGGGAAATCACCAATGCATCAATTAGTCAAAACGTAATAAGCTAACATTGGTCGATAAAATGACCGGCTTTTTCACGGTGGTTCGTGTAAGAACGAAAATGTAACTCAAGACCGAAGTCTCATTAACAACAATAACAATAACAATAATAATAATAATAATAATAATAATAATAATAACAATGATAATAATAATAATAATAGTAGTAGTAGTAGTAGTAGTAGTAGTAGTAGTAGTAGTAGTAGTAGTAGTAGTAGTAGTAGTAGTAGTAGTAGTAGTAGTAGTAGTAGTAGTAGTAGTAGTAGTAGTAGTAGTAGTAGTAGTAGTAGTAGTAGTAGTAGTAGTAGTAGTAGTAGTAGTAGTAGTAGTAGTAGTAGTAGTAGTAGTAGTAGTAGTAGTAGTAGTAGTAGTAGTAGTAGTAGTAGTAGTAGTAGTAGTAGTAGTAGTAGTAGTAGTAGTAGTAGTAGTAGTAGTAGTAGTAGTAGTAGTAGTAGTAGTAGTAGTAGTAGTAGTAGTAGTAGTAGTAGTAGTAGTAGTAGTAGTAGTAGTAGTAGTAGTAGTAGTAGTAGTAGTAGTAGTAGTAGTAGTAGTAGTAGTAGTAGTAGTAGTAGTAGTAGTAGTAGTAGTAGTAGTAGTAGTAGTAGTAGTAGTAGTAGTAGTAGTAGTAGTAGTAGTAGTAGTAGTAGTAGTAGTAGTAGTAGTAGTAGTAGTAGTAGTAGTAGTAATAATAATAATAATAATAATAATAATGATAATACATTAAAAGAACGAAGAGAATGAAGAAGAAAAAAGGGTATTAATAACAAAGAGGAAGCTAATTCCGCTTCCAGCTTGATTAATACATTGCAAAAGATTCTTATTAATTACATGGACCACCATGACTAAAGCTGGTCACATAATTTATTACTAAGCAATAACCAATCATTAATTATCATTCGCACATTTATTATGACGATATCGAATGTAATGATATTCACTAGGAATCGAAATATCATGGAAAGTCTATTCGATTACATTGGCTTTGAATATCTACCGAAAGCAATGAGCGCAAGTGTCTAACAAAACCTTGACACCTCATTTACAAAAATACCAATTAAAAATCAATCCCATTGTAAATGTAATAATTATAAGTAGAAATAAACTAATCGTAATTGGAAAAGGTTATCAAACAATTTTCAATACTATATTTGGAATGTGAAACGAAAGTATTCTCATTAAGCCGTTCACAAATTACATTTAAAGGTACTCGCGCGTACAAGACGTTTCCCCCCTCCCTGCCCCCCGCCCCCATATATATCTTTGATAATTTCTTACTTGACCCACGCGCACGCGCACACTCACACGCACACAACCATCAAACATGAGCATCGCCGCTTAAAAGTTTTCTCTCATTCTTTTTTACTGCTGTTTCACATCAACGTAATATATCATCATTAGAAGGAGCACTTTAATAGAATCCAATAAGGATACTAATCGCACGAGAAACAGAAAGAAAAACGACCGAACCAATAACGGCGTACGCCCATGTCTGCTGCACGCACACGCTTCTAATAATTACACTTAGAGACAAATATAACATGTGTTTCATAAGTAAATATCGAGTTGATCGTTGGCGTTTCTCACCTGCAAATGGCACTTTGGCTGTAGGCCGGGCCCTCAGTCACGCTGAGGGCCTGACCGACCTGCGTCTGCGTCAGCCCCAGTGACACTCGGCGCTGCTTAAAGGCTTTAGCGAATTCCTTTATTTCGTCTAAATTAACGCCATCAACAAGGTTGTTCGTGGCTTTATCAATCGTGGGTTGATCTGTAATTGCATTTTCAGCTGTGAATTAAATCTCGGTACTGTCGATGAAGATTAATCGAGGAAGCCCGCCGTGTAGCCTACTTATTATAATTATTCTGCTCTCCCATTGCCATCTATTTCTAATGGATTAGAAAAGTCCAATAAGAGGGAGCGGGCGAACCGTTCCGAGTCCGAGTCCCCTGCATTAATCGATAGGATGATTCGAGTTTCAGATAGAGCGACCTGTATCCAGTAAATTGTAAATTGCGGCGGGACTTGGATGTGTATAAAAAACCCGATACCGGACAATCAATCATTTCTATTTTAAGGATTTTTCAATCGAGAGGAGCAGCCGTTGTGCCAATGCCTCATGGCGGCTCGATGCGAAGCGCCGCAAATATAATGGCCCACCGAGCGGAGCCGCGGAGATGCTTACGGGACGCGGAGAAAATCATTCCGCGTTAAATAACCCGGCATAAATAAATCGGTTTCTCTCTCGACTTTCCAATCGCTCCAACTGCTCCGATCCCCCATCCCCATCACCAATACCCTCCCTCCTACCCCCTCCCCCCTACTCCCCACTCCCCACTCCCAACTCCCCTTCCAACGCAACTTTATTTACTTACTAATCGCAATTACATTTATTGGACTCACTTCCTATTAGCTCGCCGCTTCCTCCCCATAACGGGCCCGCATATTTATCTTCTCTCTAGATTTACGGCCCCTCGAATAGCCATAAAATAAGTTTGTTAAACATTTAAAGTCAATTAAAGCGTCGTCAACACATTGCCGCGAGCGATCCTGCGAGTTGAAACTCTTTAATCAACACTATGTATCTCGACCGTCTATCCGCTCTTAATTCAGCGACCGGCAAAAGCATTAAAGGCGGCTAACGGCTAATAATTCGCGGCTACGCGCCGATTAAGATCCCAGCTGCCGTTGTCCCCGCTAGCCGTGTCCCACCCGCGAGTGACGCATACTCACTGGAGGAGTCGTTGAGGAGGTCGTCGTCTTCATCCTTGACGCTGTGGACGCTGTTGGGCGAGGCCTTGACATTGACGCTGGTCGGGCCGTGCGTCGTGGTGATGGTGATCTCGCCGTTACTCGCTGCGAGCCGATTTAGGGCCGAGGCAGCCGAGACCGCTGATCCGTTAAGTGGCGAGGACTGCTCCACCCGTTCCCTGTGGTGCTTCTCCGACTGTTGCTGCTGCTGCTGTTGCTGCTGCTGCTGTTGCTGTTGCTGTTGTTGTTGCTGTTGCTGCTGTTGCTGCTGCTGCTGCTGCCGACGATAATGATGATGAGGATGATGAGGACGGAGTTTGAGGGTGACGATGACTGACCATTGCGATGGTCAGTGAAACGGGCTTATAGTCTAGTGCGCGATTATAGTGCGGGGCTCATCGAATCGATTGGGTATGAGAGGCCGCCTCCACGGGGGATGATAGGCACGGGTACGGGCACTTGGTGTATACGATGGTACATTAGGATATGGTGACTGGAGAAGCGGGGAGGTATTTTAATTATTAGCTCGTTCCTATTGTCGCTCGAATGTTAATTCGAGCTATAATATCGACTAATTAAAGGCCTCTCCACATCCCTTCGATATTATCCGCATAGTGAGTTATTTTTGTAACAGATTGCCTAATAATTGAATGAAGGGTATTAATTTTTGGAAACCTCGATGTTCCTTAATATTTGAGTGAACAAAGTTCTGTTTTAAATTTAACGTCTCAAACGAGGCATATTAAATTTGCCATTAACTTGGTCTTTATATCGGTAAATTACAGAATAAAAATTACATCGATAGTTTCTTAAAAGTAATCGCTCGTTATTTATATACGACAAATTTAAAATATCTGCAATTTTACGATTATTTCTGTGTGCCATTAATGTTAAGATATGAAAATTTAAATACCATTGATGAGGGACGGGGGAGACCGGGGTGGTGATGGTGATGATATAGAAAGGAGGGGGCCTCAAGAATTTTCAAAATCTTAACCATTATTAGCTCGAGGTTATATGTTGCATTGATCAACATCCAACTAGTATTGTCTTGAGATCATTAACGCGTAATTGTTTTTAACATCGGACTATAACTAATAATAATTGAATATTCAATAAAAATGCCGTGCCCGACTAAATCATTAATTACTCTCCTTTTTAAGAGAATTGTGTTTATCATTAATCTTTTTTTTCTCCTTGTTTTATATTTTCTTCTCTCTCTTTCTCTCTCTCTCTCTCTCTCTCTCTCTTTCTCTCTTTCTCCATCTGTCTCTCTTGGTGAAGCCTCGCGTATTCCAGTTATCACGTCGAAGCGTTCTTCACATCTTTCAATTGTGTATTCTTATAATAATAAGGCCTGAGAGCGTTGTGGACCGGAGGGCAATTCGTCGTTCTAATTAGTGACGGAAGTGCCATTCGCCGGACGGGAATACTTTCTTAACAAGATTACTCGACGACGAAGGAGGCGGATTTTTTTCTGTTTCAACGCTCTTAAAGTAGTATATTCTTATTTAATTTTGTCTTTTTTGCCTACTTACGCGGCTCATAACTTATAACCGAAGATTTTCAAAAGGAGCGCGGACGTTTATTTTTATTTCACGAAATAATTCAGATTCGAAAGTAGTTTCGGCTGTGCTAGTAAATCGCGTTTGGGGCTGTTTCAGAATTCCAAAAAGGCTATGCAAACCAAGAGCAAAATTGCGAATGTTTATTGGGAACTCGAATAATTACCACGATACTACTGCAAATCGTCGCGAATGAAGTTTTACAACATCTAAGGGTACGAATGCAAAGCTTAGAAAGGGGATGGCGGTGGGAAGAGGCGGGTAGTGGTGGAGCAGCTTTTATTTCGATAATGAATATTTCATGCAGTTACAATTAAAAATAAAAATAACAATAAATGCGTACGAATGCGCGAGATTTTTTATTACATTGCGCGCAACATTTACCATATTTAGTTTCTCTATAAATGTAAATTCTTGTTTTAATAAGCTTTATTTTTCCATCATTTTGTGCAATTTCTTTCGAAATCTCAAAACAGCCGTCACGGTTAAGAAATTATACAACAATATTTCAAATAAGTAATTACAGTTAAATGAGTAATATTTAAATGTATGAATTACGTTAATCGAAAGCATTACTTATAATAGATTGACAGCAGATATGTCTTTAATCACAGATGAATTAAGTATGCAAATTTAACGGCACAATTTGAAAGGTGAATTAAATTATAATCGAAAGTGCTTAAAAATTCAATTTCTAATATCTACAATTGCACGGTTATTCATTGACAACGAAGCTCATCTATAATTAATATTATGTATTGTCTCAGACTGAGATAGCACTATTATTCATTAATGCAGACACTAAATACGTATTTTAACAGATAATATATCTATAACGGCAATATTATATAAATATATATAATTTCAATTCCGGTGGCTGGAAGTTTCAAAGCCACAGTTAAAAATCCCTTGATGCTTTGGATCGCGGGAATTTAACACGAGTGCTCATCCGACATCGAGTGCTGCATTCGCGGAACGCGCAACGCGCAACGCGCAAGACCTCTAATCAGGATCAGAGAGACGACATGGGCTTGATTGATTAGTGACTAATGTTCGGTAAGGCGCCCGTCACCTCGTAACGAGAACATGTCGATGCGTCACTCGCGTACGCGTAAAAATTCCCACTCACCGCGTAATGATTGATGTGTGATCCATGCCGATGTCCATGTTGTTGGGGCGAGGTGGCGAGGAGCGGCTGCTGTTGTTGCTGCTGCTGCTGCTGCTGTTGCTGCTGCTGTTGCTGCTGGGATGCCGCCTGCTGCTGTGAGGCAGCCTGCTGCTGGGCCTGATGGGCCGCCTGTACGGCCTGGGCCTGGGCCGCCTGGGCCGCCTGTAGTAGCTGCTGGGGCTGCATCGCACTGAGCAGTTGCTGGCTCGCAGAGCTGTTGCTGAGCAAGTGCGGCAGGGCCGCGGGGTTGAGGCCCAAGCCCGGGGCTAGGCTCGGACTCGTCGGCACTGTTCGCGAGGGACAGGCAAATAGAGCACCACGTTCAGTCGTATATCGCGAGTGGCTACGAGAGAAGCTTTTACGGGCCTCGCACGATTGCCCGAGTCACGAGCAATTATTATTTAAATATGGTGAAGGATAATTTAATAAGGAAATTGCTTGGGACGCCGACACGCATGCTGCTGTCTACCTTTTTGCTCGGCCGATCGGTGCCGACCTGCACAGCCTGACTAATTGAAAAAACTTTTCCGACTCCCGCGAGAGACTAGCGGGGCGAGAAAAATCTTATTCCACCAACTAACTTTATTAATAGGTCTATTCTATGATGTAAGTACACATTGGCCGAGATTTATAATAAAAATGAAATGAGAAGGACTCGATGGTGGGGTGAGACGGTGGGGTTTGGGTGTGGGCGTGCTTTTCCGTCTATATAAATACATTATAAGTCATCTAGTCCATTATGGCAAACTAAAGTGAGGATAAAAGTTGCGTCGATAGGCTCTTCCGTTAAGAAAATTATTCCACGGAGCTCGATTTTCACCACCGATGAAAGAAAATTGTAAATATTTATCAAGCCCTTTTCCATCGGTATTAATACGTTATTTCTAGCGCATAGGCTATTCATTTAATGAATGCGTTGAAAAATGTTTCCCTTACGTATAATCGTCGGCTAATATCGCCAAGGAAATCACGAAAATAAATATATATTTCATATATACGGTTCTGCATTGCTTAAATACGAGTAATATTTCGCGATCCGAGTGCAGTGTAAAATAAAAAAATACAACCAATACGATATAAGCGAATCGAAAATAAAATAAATACGATGATTATAAAAGTGTAAAATTATAAGTTACGTTGATCATCCAGATGGAAAAGGTAATTTAAAAGATATACATGTTTCATTCATTAATAGCTCTTGTGCTTATGAAACAAAGAAGAAGAAAACAAACGAACAAACAAACAAGCAACAACAACAAAAAAAAAAACAAAAAAAAACTAATACTAATGAAACACTTTGTGTCTCGATAATACAACAAATGCATTGATATTAATATAATTTACGCTAATTCATGTTCCTCGTAGAGATAGATAATTTTAGATAAAAGTAGGCTTAAAAATATTCACATGTATAAGGCCAATGAATAAACATTGCTTGCTTGCTTGGGAGAGTAATGGCTGGTGGTGGAGGAGGGGAAAATAAAAGGTAAAATACTACTTTGTGATGCGATTGTAAGAGTGGCCGATCTGCTTAAAGCAACAGTCGTTTGTAATTCGTTTACCGTTGTTCGTAGGAGTGTTCATCATGCCTTGGGGCTGTGCGATCGACTGCAGATTCGCAAGCGTCGTCGACACGACTTGACCGTTGCTCAGCGCTAGGTTTACTATTTGGTTGTTGGTACTAACGTGGCTCACGGGAATGGTCAGAATGGTTTGTGTGGCAATTCCTGCAAAGATATTCCAGCGTTACAAAAGAATGATGATAATCATCGCTACGCTATTAGTATAAAAATGGAAATTTTTTACGTTTGATTTATGGGATGCGATTAGATAATACTGAAATTGTAATGCAATTACATTTAAGCCTATGTTTATTTATCTTCGATAGTTTCAAGTATTCGAATAACGGAATAAATCTGTCTAAGCTATGATTTACAATCGGAAAATAAATCCACACACACGCGCACACGCGCATGCACGCACGCACGCACGCACGTACGCACGCACGCACACACACGCGCGTAGTGAGAAATCTATATATACGTGCACATACGTGGCATAAATAATACGTTCTAACACACCAAGTACTAATTAAATACAAATGTAAATTATTATTACTTGTATTTCAAAGAACTTTATTAGATTGTATGAAATCACAGGAACATATTATGTACATGCATAGGTCACATTTTTGAAAGAATCGCGCTGCATAAATACATAAGTATTAAATGATATATAATTAAAATTGAAATTGTATTTTTTTTTTCAAGTTTTTTCTAGAGCGACTAATTAAATGTTTGCTAACGTATTTGAATTAAAATAAATCATCTTTAATTAAAATTGCAATTATAATGAATATAATAATGATGATGATGATGATGACGATGACGACGACCAAAACAACAACAACAACAACAACAACGACAACAACGACAACAACGACAACAACAACGACGACAATAACAATAATAATAATAATAATAATAATACTACTAATAAAACTATTTTTTTTCTAATTAAGAATTCTTTGAAATTTCAATATTATAATTCGCGACAAACTAAAGAATTTATTTACACATGGATACGGACACACGCGGGCGTATGTGAGATCGTATGTATGTATATTATGTAGTCGATACTTGAAAAACTAGAGTTCCATTAGCTGTCACCTTTACATCGTAGTATTATTATCGCGCATATGATCAATAATTGCGCGGCAGTTACCATTTGAAGTATATTATATTATATTTTCATCGGCTTTAAGTGCGAAAAAATTTATGACATCTAAAGCGCGGCTAATAATAATAAAAATACTTAAAAGGCATATATTATCAGTAATAGAAACGTTAAAAAGAAATGTTTCGATTACCGTCGGTAACGTTAAACGAGCAATAATATGCAATATATTTGTATACTGGTATGATAATTATTAATGCGGAGCAAAGAATTTGTGCTATATCCGACTGGTTATTATGCACGATCGTTGAATAATTAAAAGCAGCGCTTAATAATTCGCAATATTTCGGCACATAATAATTCGAAAAAGTTTACGAGAATATGAGACCGCCGAGTGAGCGGCAATCCAAGCCAACTCTTGCGTCAGCGGCTGCCTATTAATCGCAAAATTAATTTACTAAAAAGAAAATACTACGATTACGAAATGGAGCAATAAAATTTGAAAAGTTCATTTAAACTAACATACTTTTACGTGCGCGCCGCCGCACCGAGGAAAACCCAATCCGCCAGCATAAACAATTGTCGCGATCAGTTACATAAGGCCAGCGAGCGCGACATTATCGGCCGCACGCCTCAAAGGTACATTATACTGCCAATGACGTTAAACACACGGCCAGTAGTGGAGCTTTATCATCCCCAGCCTCGTATAATTTATGCGCTGAACACCCCCCGTGGCTGGTAGGACACGCACGCGTAAGCGCAGGCGCGAGACGTAATTCGCGGCGTACGTCCGTCCGTCGAGATGCTTCGAATTTTGGGCCCGGAGCCGCGGCACGAGCATCCCGTCGGTATTTCAAGTTCGTCGAGAGCCACCGAGAGAGAGAGAGAGAGAGAGAGAGAGAGAGAGAGAGAGAGAGAGAGAGAAAGAGAGAAAGAGAGAAAGAGACAGATAGAGAGGGAGAGAGAAGGAGAGAGAGAGAGAGAGAGAGAGACGCCGTGTCGAGGCGGGATAAAGATCGCCCTGCACGGCGGATCAAGAGGGAGGATCGCGAGGGAGAGGCTTGGGATGGGTGGGAGGAAAGTACCGAAGTGTCCGGGCGCAGTAAAGTTATCCGACTCCGAGGGAAGGATTATTAGACAAGCCACGGAGCGAGTAACCTCCTCTCCGCGCGCGCATCCTAGTTGGCAAACTATTATCACCGTCTTAATGCCGAGTTGCAGGGAGACCGCCGCGTACCTCCACGGCCCCGGGCTCACTTCCCCGGGCTCATCTCCGCGGCGTCGCGGCGCTCGAGATGGACGCCTAATCATATTTAGAACTGTTTCAGGATTAGCCTCGGAACCCCCGCGCTAATCTGATTATCCTGTACACGCTCTTAATATGATTACCGATCATGAGTAGCTGGTTGTATAACCCTCGGCATTGTGTTGGCGGATGTGGCGCCCGTCCGCAAAGCCCGCGCACACCCGGCCAACACAGCCATAAAAGTTTCGCACATTGTGGCCGGAGATAAGCCGAGTGCCGGGGTGCACGACGATGATGCGTATGTGCGCCGGGACGCGTGGCCGAGGCGAGCATCGATCGGGTTGCACGCAAACCCCCGGAACCTCGACCACTTGTTGTTTCGTCGGCGAACTCGGTCGCTTCCGCGATGGCTAGAGAATATAGAGGCTGAGCCGAGTGCGCTTCTTTTATCTTCGTTGGGACGTTCATTGGGACGTTCGACGGGAGAGGAACGTAAAGACGAATCAGCGAGAGGAGGGGAAGTTTTAATGCGACCTGGCCGATACAGAATACGAGCTCGGAGGCAAGCAGTCAAGTGCAATTATCTCAATGAATTTTTGCTTTTATGCGCCGCTAGATAATATCCCTGTTGATCTACTATATATTTTAGTTTGTGTGGACTTAACCCGTCCAAGATTATGGATGCCGAAGTAGTGTACTTTGCCAACAATATTAAGTACGTGGATGGAGAGGGCGCTCGGCCATCCGATCAACTTTCAAATCCACGTAAATTAGAAATCTGCTAACCTTATACGAGATCGAGTAGCTGATTTGTTTTTTCTTTTTTTGGCTTTTTTTTGTTACGTTTTTTTTTCTTCTTTACGTAGAGCCTCATCGTATTACTAGCTCACGTTGATTCACGACGAAAGCGTTGGAACGTTATTCCATCATGAAATTGCGCGAAAAATCGCTCGCAATCGATAGTTCCAAATAGGTAACGTTAGATAGACGGTGGGAAGCGTTTGTTAATTAAAGAATTTCAATTTATCCACGTGATTGCCCAAGGCACAAAACTCCTTACAAGAAGTTCGTTAGAACTCTCAAGAAGCTTGAGGTCGTGCGTAACTATATACGAAATACCTTTAAGAATTACTAACTTCATCGTAGAAGTTCACTAGAACATTGGCGGAGCATTGGCGGCCAAATTGCACAAGCTAAACAGTAAGATTATTACTTTCTCAATTGGGAATGAATAGCAGGGGTGAAAATATTTGGTAATAATTATTATCTCATTTTCAATTATTTTGTTAAACTGATATTGCTATTGCGTTGCAATGATATTTTTTCGCATTCGCGCCCTTATCAAAGACTTGTGACTCGTCTAATAAGGAAGCGATCGATCGTTGAAAGTTTAAACATTTTCGCACCGAGTTCCGAATATAGAAGCAAATGCGAAAAATAATAGGGTCGGTGATGTTTGCATAATAAAATAAGCCCCTCATCAAAACGCTTTTACCAATGTCCTTAGAAATTCGCTAACTTGACGTAACTTGTGATCGATTGGGCGACGACCAATATAAACTCGAACGGAAGTCGTGTACCATCTTCCCTTACCCCATCCTTACGCGACTCGGGCACTCGAGGAGCAGGGGAAGAGACCGTAGACAAGTGGCACATCTTCGCTGCTGAGACTCGCCGATTGAAGTTAACCGACATTGATTACGCGAGTGACATCCAAACGCATTCGAAATATCCATAACTGCTTCCTCTATAAGGACTCTAACGAGATATCCACTCGAAGCCAGTGTCCATCATGGCCGCGTACTTTCTCGAGTTGTTTCGTGGGGTGGAGTGGACTAAGCTCGTAAGCTCGGGACAAGTTATCGCCCGCGCGTACTGGCATATCGGCAGAAAGTGCACAACACTCGCTTGTCAATCGCGCAAGAACCAAGTTAAGCTAAAGGCGCTGCAATCAATGGGAATAGTGTCCGAATCTACGCCATCGTCGCGATGGTTGCCTCGTATTCTCCTTCGCTCTCTCCCTCTCTCTCTCTCTCTCTCTCTCTCTCTCACTTACTGGAACACACTTTATAACGGTTCGAAAGAGGCAAGTGGCAAGCATAGGGCTTAGTCAGACATCGAGTGGCAATAGATGCTAGAAGCTAAGCTAACGGAGCTCGCTAAAGGGCTCGCAAATGACGAGACAAAGAGAGGCGAAATGTACGTACGAGTGAGTCTGACGCATATACTCGCAAGAAATGGCCGAGAGATGGTCGGGAGGGGTCCAGATACATAGAGTCGACGATAGATATAGATAGATAGATAGAGAGAGAGGGGGGGGGAGAGAGAGATAGAGAGGACGAGAGGCAGAAAGAGAATAAAGAGGCCGGGGAGAGTGAAGGAGGCAAGAGAGGGTTGGTAGTGAGACGTTAATTATACATTGAAATTAGTTGGCGAGTTTGCCCTGCACTGCTCGGGTTTGGCTTGAGACTAGCCAACACAGCGCCGCATGGCCTGCTAAGTATATATGGACGACGAGGACGAAGCCGATGGGCGAAGAAGATAGAAGGATAGAACGACAAGGAATAAGAGATAGAGATGGAGATGGAGAGAGGAAATTGCATGAGCGTAGGGTGTTGGGTGTTGGGTGTTGGGTGTTGGGTGTTGGGTTTGGGGTGTGGGGTGTTGTAAGGGACGTTGAGGGGGCGAGGTGGCGGTGAGGCGCGGGGGCGGTGAGGGGAGTGGGAGGGGATGGGAGAGATAGCGGTTAGCCAGAGATAGCCGATATTAGTATAACGGCACAAACTCGATTGTGCGATATTATGCAGCCGTCGAAGTGTGATTAGGGCTTCATCCGGATACAAACCGAAATCTGAACTTACGTTGGAGTTTGAAATTGCGTGCTGCTAGTGGAAGTGAAAACGTGAGAATGAAAAGGAATGGAAAGCACTTTTGTAATGTTTCTTTCGATTTGTCTTGGAATATTATTCTTCACTAACAATGTCCATAAAACATTATTATGCAATCAAAATTTAGGCAAAATTTCACTAATTAAATTATATAATGTAAAAGACTAATAAATTAGGATTGAAATTATGAAAGGGATCTTGATTTGGATAAATGATCGTATTTATTCAAATTTTTTTTAGAGATGTTGCAGTAAATACTTGAGCATTGAGTAACAAATCAATTAGGTAAATATTCCAACGAAATGCAAAATTTATGTAAGTTTGATATTCGCAAGGATATGTTTGTTTAACTAGACGATCTCTTACCAAATTATATCGCTCTGTATAATTTGGCATAGGATACGGCTGATGTGATTCGAAGCCTATTTAGTTGGACGAATGGAAATTGAAAAACAAAATATACATTTTCATGCTTACTTTACTTTAATATTGGTGAAAGGACGCAAGAGAATCATTCAAGGGAGCACGAAATTGTTTTAAGCGCATATAGTAAGGATTTGTTAATCTAGCGCCATTGTTAAAATTTCATTTAGACAATCTCGAATTAAATATGCACCGCATTTTAGAAAGCTAATTTGAAATGACAAAGACAATATAAAGGTATTGATTGAAACAAGCCACTGAATAATAACAGGAGAAATTGGTACGAGATTGAATATATCCAAACTCGATCGTTCGTGATAATACGAAACTAGTTCGTTTAGTTTTTCAGCTTCATATTTAGATTACATATACCTCCAAAGAAACAAATATGTTGTAGCGCATAATCCATTTGTTTTTTTTTCCAATATAATGATAACTGCAGGTGAGAAGTGAATTGCATAGAATAATGGTAAGTATAAGCGATCATAAATCAGAAGAGATAAGTCGGTTGAAAGCACTTGACAAGCGGATATTTAAAAGCCGAAATTTTGAGAGGAATTGTTTTTTAGCTTCGAATAAATTGGATGATTTGTTTTAAGGAAAAGAGGGCAGAATTTTTTCATATAATATATATATATATATATATAATGTTTCGTCATTATAATGCCAACATTTAAACAAATTTGTTGACTCGCTGGAAGATGCTGTAGCTTGGAACAAATGTGACTATTGCGTCCACCATATTCAACAGTACTTGCCGATCTGTCATTTCTTCCGATTTCCATTTGAACAATAAAATATTCGTTAACGACGAAGACGAAAAATTTACTTACACTCTCCGTGAGTGCAGGTCATAAGTTCTGTACTAAATTGACGAGAAATAACATTACCTCCAGACTAATGGCAAATATACTGTACCAAAAATAATTTTGTATCAACGAATAATATTATATTCTTAAAATATTATAATATTTATACAATATATTTATATGTTACTTTAAATTATATTATAAATAAAATATTTGTTCCCTCCGAGAACCGAACGAATAATCCAATTTTCCTTCAAAATTAGAACACTTATTAATAATAAATGTTAAAGATAAAAATAATTGTCGTAGAAATTTTTATTTTCTATTTTAATTTAATTTTAAATACGAAAATGTTATTAAAAGCATCTTTTGCTCTTTGAATTAATTTTTAATGTTAGTCAATTTTATATTCTCAACAACTCTTTGGCATTATATTTCTAAAATCAATTTCTAAAAGTAATCATTATACGATTAAAAATGACATCATCAAGGTAGCAACAGATTTAAATTTATTAAAGTCATTGTTATACATATACACACGCGAATTATTATTATATTTATTAATAAATGAATTAAATATAAAAAAAAAAATATACTACATGGATTCGTAAACATTTCAAAATATAATTAAAGAAAGGATTAACTTCGGAACGACGATTAAGGATTTCAATACAATCTGATAGATTTTTACGTGAAATGTAAAAATATCAATTTCTGAAATTATTAAATTTATAATAGAATCGTTTTCATATATGAAATAACAAAGTACATTATTGAAAATGGGTAGTGAAAATATAATTTAATGCATCTAGAAGATAAACACATAGGGAAATTTCATACTATAAGTCGTAATAACTTAAGTCATTAATAAATTCAAGTCAATGACGGATCATATCAATCTTTTAGCACTTTCAACATTTGTGTATAGACTGAATTAATAAGAAATGTTGGAATGTATAGAACAATGATTAATTCTATTTAATTACACAAGTGATTTGAAATACTCAAGACGTAGTATCGTTGTTGCTGTTGTTATTGTTGTTGTGATGGCTTTTATTGTTATCGTTATTATCTATACTTTTATTATCTTTATCGTCATTAATTTTCATACTTAGAAGCGTGTGCGAACATAGGCAAAGTATGTAGGAATTATTAAGGTTCTTGAAAAAAATGTATCGAATTTAAATAATAATATCCCAAATTACGTCTCTCGAATATTAATAAAATAAAAATTTCTTCAACTAAACTGATATATAAATATTCCAAAAATGAGGACAATTGAAAATGAGTGTAGTCTTCTTTTTATTTTTTATTTTCTTTTGATAAAGATTATAAATTTTAGAAACTTGTTCACTCTAGAGAAGAAAATTTTTTTTGGTATAATGATAATTAGAATATTGTAATATCATAAATTAAATTCAGATTTACTTATAGATTAAGTTTTCTGTCCAATCGACATTTCCCATCAAACCTTTCCCTATTATTAGCATATTAGAATTCTGAATTGAATACAATTTACACTCCGTTACATTGTCGTCCGCGAATAACAATATTAGCTACATTAACTGTAGCAAAATATCCCTATAAATCCATTTTTCCAGCTCAGTAGGCACTTATATGTAAACATTATTACGACTAAAATGATAAAAAGCTTTAAAGCTCTTATGTTAATGTAAGAGCCATCAAAGGCAACCGCCCCCTAATAAAACACAATGATTAATTAATAAAGTAGAAAAAAAAGCATACGCGTCGCAGATGCACATTACAGGTGAAATGACAAAAAAAAAAAAAAAAAAACAAGAAGTCTACCAGATCATTAGAGGAGGTTAATTATCATGATAATTATAAGCACTCTGCCAGTCTTACCTTGCGACGTGGGTATAAGAAGTTGAGCACCCTGGATACCCTGCACGAGCTGGCCCGAGGTCATAATGAACTGCGGCATCGCCACGGGCTGGGGCTGAGATAGAAGCTGGGTGAGCGTCGCCATTGGCTCCGTGGTGCACGAGGGTGTCGTCGAGACCGTTCCAGCTGCGAATCGATCCAGCCGATTAAATCCAATGAAAAAAATCGATTTTCTCCACTCGCATTATAAGACAACATATGCCCGGCTTGGTTATACTAGATTTTAATGCTGTCGGATGGCACGAGGGTCGTGTAAGCTTCGGTCCGAGTCGCGTGACGGTCCGACCACATACAACGAACGAAGCCGCGACTTAACAAGTTTTTTAATGTTCCACCCCAGCGGTATATTGAATGACTGATTGATGCGAGCCGTTCGATAGTTTCATATCATTTGCATCATTTACGTTCAACTTATAATTTGCCAGCAGCCTGCTGCTTTAGATTATCTTTACATTAACAGTCGTTCAATGCGCAGTGCATTGGCGTCCACGTATCAAGAAAACTCCGTTCCATAATCTTATAATTAATGGAAGGTTAAAAAAGCAAAGTATGGAGTATGGAGTATGGAGTATCCATTAAAGCGTCGAGCGACGTCCGGTGGACTAACCTGGTGAGGTGACGGTGAGATTGAGCGGCGCATTAATAAGCTGATTGTTGGTGAGCTCGCTGGACATGCCCTGGAGACCAGCTGCGAAAGAGGCCACCTGCGGTAGGTTCTGCAGATTCGCCAGATTCTGGAGATTCTGGAGCGTTACCATGCCGGCCACTGGAACAGAAGGGTATGCGTTAGCCAGGACTGGCGAGACGAGAGAGGATGGGTGAACGAGGCCGGGAGGTATAGATCTCGCGCGTCCCGGCGACGTTCGCCAATCGGGGGAGGACCCTGGGGAGGGTCGCGTTTATACGAACTGGTGCCGTTGAGATGAGCCTGGGCCACCGCAGCGCGCTTCGCGTGTTCGATATTCTTCGGCGAGGGACTACGCCGCCTCTTCCGCGAGTTTCTCATGCCCTCCATTATCATCTGATGCTCGTGGAGCGAGCCGGAGGCTGGCTCCGGACTTCCGGTACTGCTCCTGTCACTGTCCTGGAACAGAAGATGAGCGAATGCCAGTTCGTTCGATACTCCGGTAATCGAGCAACGGGGCTGCGCTTATGTTTTAGGGGTAATGATACGTGGAGTCGTCGCGTCATTTAAACCCGTTTATTGGTAATTTGGCGAAATAGCGTTGACGTATTGCAGAAAAAGATTTCTTGCTTCAATTTAGCGCGCGTGACATCGCATTAGCAGTATTTTGAAAGATGCTTTTACATTATATAAACTTCGCTATTTCAATTAGATTTCATTATAATTGAAAGCTTGATCAAACGAGATGTTTAATTAGAATATATTAATGTGTACAATACTTAATTATTAATTCAGCGAGTGTATCACATTGCGTAACGGGCAGCATTGCCTATATAAGGGATTAAAGATGAAAAATGCCGCTATTGAATTACGATATTTATTATTCTAGAGATGATAATGCGCAATTGCGCGCGAATACGAGAAATTATTAATTTATAATGAATGGAGCTCATTAAGTACCTAACTAGCCGCATTCATTTTGTCCGATTTTGGTTGAAATAACAATATGAAAGGGGACTCGACCGCAAAGAATCGCGAAGCTCCATCTTACAATGTACAATACGTGACTCGCATTATAATTATGATGGTGGTTTGTCGTGGCACTTATTTTTTTATTTTTTTATTTTTTTTTTATTTTTTTATTTTTTTTTTATTTTTTTATTTTTTTTTTATTTTTTTATTTTTTTTTTATTTTTTTATTTTTTTTTTATTTTTTTATTTTTTTTTTATTTTTTTATTTTTTTTTTATTTTTTTATTTTTTTTTTATTTTTTTATTTTTTTTTTATTTTTTTATTTTTTTTTTATTTTTTTATTTTTTTTTTATTTTTTTATTTTTTTTTTATTTTTTGTTTGTTTGTGGAAAGACGCCTGTTTAATCCGGAGGCTAGCTCCGCTAAGCTTCATTTCGTTATGCATTCATTGCAAATTCTCGGCATATCGTTACTTTCTGCAAAAATGCAAATCGATAATGTATTATGACTTTACGAGTGATTTATTTTAATTAAATTAAATCCTGCTTCTCTAATTTTTGTCAACGCATTATAAGATCCTCGCGTGCACTTTCATTAATTACTTATAAAAATACTAATGTGTGGTGCGGATGTTTTTAAGGCTTTTATGTTTCGTATTTTGTTTCAATGGCTCGTCGCTTGGCTTTCAGTGTGAAATACAATGTTAAAAGTCACAGGAGTAATTGATAAAAAATTATGCGCACTGCAAAGAAATAAGATAGAAAGACCGTTTTGAAAAAAATCCTGTCTCCGGTTTGAAAGTGTAAATAAGCTTTTCCTTGCAATGTGCAATTAAAAAGTCGAGTGTCGATCAAGGATCGGTAAGCGCTGGCGATAAAGTTTGAAAAAAGGACGCATAATTTGCGCCCACCTTTGTAAAATATGTTAATTGTTGTTGAGTATCGCGCGTAGTCGATCGCTTTTTACTTGCTCGATACATTTACCGATGGCCAGCAAATTGATTAATATTCATTTTGAGGATCACGATGACACGGGAGATGCGCAAGCGCCCGAAATAACATCGCATCGACTCGGTATACGCGCGTATACTACTGTACGCGGCATTTGGGCGGTTGGCTCTCGACCCCCACGTATTTATCATTGCGGCGAATCGAGTCGCTAATTAGGTGAATTGGCTCATTTATCATCGTCCGGCCGTTAATGGCGATACGAGAGGGCCGCCGCCGCCGCCGCCGCCGCCGCCGCCGCCACTACCGCCGCCATCACCGCCGCCACCACCGCCTGCCGCCATAGCGACTCGAATACGAAAAGACGCCCTTATCGCGCCCGTGTAATCGCGCTCGGCAAGGAGAGCGAAAGAAAAGACAGAGAGGAGCATGACGCCAGATAATTCCTCTCTCGCGCTCATTTGCACGATAGTAGAGGAATAATTAGCGGACGTCGCGCCTCTTCATATATACGCCCATTATATTATAGAGCTTTTATAAACACGCGTAATACGAGTTGAGACCTTCCAAGGCAATCTAAATTATAATAAATCGATATGTTATACGTCCCTTATGTAGACAGTTTTACTTTACTGGCAAAGAGGTTATCTAAAAATAAGCCCGACCCCCAAGATTAAGATGTTGAGCTGTATCGTGTATATTTTATTACGAGTTGAAAATTTTTTAACGTAGCCACGAGCTCGTTTTGTTCATCTCTGCCAAGTACATCGTCAATGCCTAGGTGCTCCCTCTCATTACACTATTGGCTTTGCACGATTATGACACGCACGATTATTTTTGATGTTTAACAAAAATCCCAAAATAAGAAGCCCAAGGCTCATTAATAATAAATTTAAGGCTGCATGGAAGTGCATGTGACGTGGAATAAATTAAAAGCACGAACAATTGTGAAAGAAATAATAAATAGTATCGAAAAGTAAAAGTACATTGGCATGCATAAATTACAACACTTACTAATAAACGCCAGATAAATAATATTATTTGTAAATGACTTTGAAGAAAATTTATAAATTTATTATTCCTTTTCTCCGCAAGTCTCGCTTCCCAACGAGACGATGTTTTATCAACGAACGAGTACGTATTATTCAGTATAAGGCGCGTCGAGGGTTTGGGGGAAGTCGGTGGTACTGTTACCGGCGCGGCCTCTTTGCATAATGGGCATGGAAATATGCCGAGACATGTAGCACCGTAGCCGGATACAGATTAAGAGTTTTAGAGCCTCCGGTAACCGGGCGATTTCATCCAAAGAATATAAAGGCCCCTGCGTTTAAGGAACAAACTGGGAGTTTCGTATGTTGCGATCGACCAATGCCAAGACTGAACGAACGATGCTTTTCAAACTCCTCCGTACAACTTTGTTGTTTTTCTTTTAAGTGCTCGCGATTTCATCATTCCTTCCTCATCATTGGCAAATCCATTGTGACGAAAGAAATTTCCTTCATTACTCGGATAAGAATGTGTTAATTGAGAGCGTTCAGGATTAAGGGAGAATAATATATATTTAGCTCGATATAATAATTATTACGTACGTATATAGAAGATTGATGTACGTGAATACGACGAAACAAGTTTGTCATTAATCGAGCATTTAGCAACTTATTAAGAATAGTTATTGAAAATTCTTCCATTATATTAAATGCTTCTATATATTATAGAATACCTTCGTGTCTTTTATGACGGTATTAAACAAGTAATAAAAAAAATGAAGAAAAAAAAAGGGTTTTTTAACATATATTTAACTGTAATTACACGAGAAAATGGATTTTTTATTTATATGTTCAAGAACAAATGTGAAGTAATTTCGTTAATTAATTATATGTATCGGTGCACATTTTGCGAATGCCAATAAAAGTGTCATTTTACTGTGAAAGCGATTGTTTTTAAATTTGAATTCTGCTGCATTTAAAAGTACTAATGACGATTCTCCGAAAAGGTTACTATTAAAGAATGAATGATACGCTTCGCCACAACGTACATTGTGAATAAAATTTTAGATAGCATATTTTTACGAATGTGTGCACACGGATATACAAAATGGATGCGCGAGCGCATTTTGATTTTTCGACACCTTTTATTTTCTCCATAGTCATGCAAAATAAATGAATGCAGAATAAAACACTAGATTTCAGTTGTGTGAAGAGCTTTTTGAAAATTGATTGCTTTATCGAAAATTATGCACTCATAACGCATTATATGAGCTATAGCGCGGAATTCTCCGGATAAATAAAAATACCGAGAAATACCACCAAACTGTGCTCGTTAATAAATGAATGTAGTTGATCTAGCTTTTTCGTCTTTTATTTTTTTCTTGAATAACAGCCCCATTTGTAAAACATTTTTGATTGGAATTACGTTCTATCTCTTTCTCAATAAGCGTTGAAAATAATCATCGAGCAATCATGTAATTGCAAGAATGTTAGTAGCACTTAGTGATTAAAATTCATATCGCTAGTAATCAATTATCAGAAACGAATATTTAGTTCTATAACCACGAAAGCTAAAGCATTTTTTTTTCTCTATCATTTTGTGAATTTGATTTAACGGACCCTTTGTTACAAGTACTTTAAAATATTTTGAACTCTTAAAGATAAAAAGTCTCCAAATCTGAAGAGGAAAAGATATTTTTAATGTATTCCTTTTTGATTTTTATTATAAAATTTTTTAAGATTTTAATATTATTACACTATTAAAGTACTATTGCAGGCTACATGAAGTAAGTTGCTAATTATATGCATTTCAATGAATATTATAAAACGATATTATTACCACGTAATTAATGAATAATATACTGATAAAGTTTATAATCGTGCGTGCATTCTACAGATATGGAAAATTTATTATTTGTTTCAGAATTATTTTATGCTATAAGTTTCTTTTAAAGAAATTTTATGTAAATCAACAATTAATCTATATTAATATTATCAAAGTACAAATGTACAGTTTTATCAATGACATATAGAATAAAAATGTATTTAATACAGTACCTGGCATTAGCATATGTATGACGTTGAATTATGATTTTTAATGAACTAAGATTATAAACAAACTATTACATAATATATATCTCCTTGCTACTATTGAATATTGGCCTGCTTTTCTTTTTTAATGAAGGAACAAGTTGAAGTTGCTTTATATGGATAAACATTTAATATTACTCCTTTTATAATATGTAGTTTTAGCAAAGCCACTGTAACAAAGCACTAAACTATATAAAAAAAATTTTTTTTCCTTTTTTTGTAATGGCCGTTATGAGTATACGCAGGGACAATGAAGTAGCTTTATTGCTCGACAAGCAGTAATGTGCGCACCTTAAACAAAAAAAAATACCTTTTTTGCATGATAACGAAGCTCTTATAACGCTAAAGCCTGTGCATAAATTCACAGAGACAGAGAGACAGAGAGACAGAGAGACAGAGAGAGAGAGAGAGAGAGAGAGAAAGAGTGCGAGTGCGAGGGAGGGTGGAGGGGAAGGATAGTATC